TCAGCAGGAGAGAAGCATTTGTTTTAACAATACTATATCTCTTACTCAGCATGCTGAGTAATAATCCTGAAAATTACCACTGATAACAAAAAAAAAAAATTAAAAATTCAATAAAAGACAAGTCATACCATTTCCATTTACCTCTACACTCTGGTCAGGGGGAAGTTTTTAAAAAATTGGTTGTCATTTGGTATTTGAGAGACAGAGAGAATATTACCAAGTGTAAGGTATGTATCACTACTCCCCACCCTTCCTGCTCCAAATGCCGTAAGTACAAGAAGTAATTGCTTTTACTAGTTTATGTTAGCAATATGCTAATAATAGCTACTAAGCCCACATTAGTTGAGTCCATCGCTTCACTTCAAACTACTCCCAAAACAGCACCATGAATAATCCCAATTCCCAAATCAGTCTAAAGTAAAGGAGATGCGTATGACCTTTGCAATCAAAAGGAAGGCAGACAGTGAAGCGTGGCTGAAAGTATGTGAGCTGCAATATTCAAGTTATAAACCAAAAAATAGTATTATCAAGACGAAATGGGACGTTGCAATCAAAAGGAAGGCAGACAGTAAAGCGTAGCTGAAAGTATGTGAGCTGCGATATTCAAGTTATAAACCAAAAAACAGTATTATCAAGACGAAATGGGACACATTTCAATCTCTTGACGCAACAGCAGATACCCCTCGTTCGTGGCCCCAGGTGGTATATTTGTGGTCAACCTGCTGTTTGGCAGCAAATGAGGAACCTTTTGTAAATCCATACACACTTACTGTATGGTAGTGATGCTTCAAGGCCACAAAAAAAGACTGCTCAGTAAGATCAAAAAGTCATTTCTGTCCCTTCCTGCCCACAAAACACAGACAAGACTTGATGAGTACCAAGACTTTAAACCACAAAAAAAAAAAGCCAGTGACAACTAACTCGGACATGAAAAAAAAAAAAAAAAAGCCAATGACAATTAACTTGGACACGCACATGGCAGCAGGAAGACTTTCTGATTCGTGTGGTTCCAGATCCCACGTTTGACTGCGTACTTTTAAATCCACGTAACAGAAGTCTCTCTGCTAACGTAGTGCTCAAGGAGGAGGAAATCTGATACAAACTTAGAAACTTCATACAACTTTCTGAAGTCTCTCTGCTAACGTAGTGCTCGTAGTGCTCGAGGAGGAGGAAATACAAACTTAGAAACTTAATACAACCTTCAGTCTGTTATGGAGGACCATTACTGCAATATACAAGAGAGACTTCCCAAGGGATCTGAAGATAAACAGAATTTAGGAGAAGAAATTCAAATCATTTATTGCTTTCCAAATGTCAAAATTCCTCCACTGTTAAGAATAAGGGATAAGGAACTAAATCCAGAGAGCAAGCTGTCCAAAGCCTGGCTATATTCAACACAAATGTACACAACCGTACTATCATCAAAGGGTTCACGATCATTTAAAAGGCAATTACTTCTGTCTGCAATACTGTATCATGCCAACAAACCACGATACTCTGGGTACATTTTTCTTTTATCATGTCCTTTCATCTTTTGTTCTTTTAGTAAGAAGGCCAAACAGGTGTACAATTTCAAAAGAGACACACTCCTTTTTTGTTCACTTCTGATTCTCCATTTTAACTCATCAGTTTGGAAATAGCCACTCCACCCACATATACCTACAAAGCAAACCCTGTTCAGTTCACAAAGCTCTGCTGTAGCCTTCCTGGCCACCTTGATCTGGAATTTCATAGTTGCACGTTTTTGAAATTAATAAAAAGGTGTATAAATGTAACATAGGTATAACTTGTCACACATCTCATCCCCACTGAAATTCCTGTGGGGAAACAGGCCTAAGTGAAACCGTGAAGACTAGGTTCCCACGTAAGGCTAGGAGTTTAACTTAACATGGAGTAGAACTGAAACGGGCACTCTATAAAAGACCTCCCTGCATCTTAATCACACCACCACTGTCCTGCAAACTTTCAAATGCACCACATCTGGTACCTTAATTTTTTATGAGGTACAGAAAAGATTCTCTCTCTGCCTTCTGGATTGTAGCTAAAGGCTTCTGACTAAGGCTTCTTATTTTGCTCACTTTCTGGATGTGAAATCAGCATCTCCACTTAGTGGTCTCTTGTCTGTGGTGAAAACCAGGACTGAATACATCTTTTTAATGCAAAAGCATAATATGGAACCTCTGTAACAAACCATAAAGGAATTCTGTCCTGGTGTTTATAAACCCTACATAAAAGAAGACCTAAGCAAACTGTGTTTACTTCAAGTAGCACACTAAGCTTACCTCTGTGTTGAGTACCGATCTCATTCTTACGAGAAGAATCTACCTGACCACCGTGTATGAGCTTTAGCCCCTCATGATCTTGTACATACGTGCTTTAGCCCAACCTATGCAGGGACAAATGCTCTGCCTGCAATTCAGTTGTTGAGCACCACAGACTAACACCCTGCCTCTTAAATGTTTGCCTGAGAAAAGAGTATCTAGATACATCTCATGATCTTACGATGTATTCTCTAGCTTCAACTGTAGTTATTTCTCTGCAGACGCACAAATTTCTCAGTACCTGTATTAACACATAATATTTATGTTGTATCTCAGATAATTAAAAATATGCACACAAATTACACATAACAGCCTATTAAATGGCATGTATGACTTCTGAACATCAGGAAAACAAGCTAATTGTACTTGTGAATGGTCTGTGATCAAGCCTTCTACAAGACATGAGGAGCATACAGTTCCGTATTTTCCAACAGTGTGCTGTGAACACATTTATCTCTGCTTTCAACTTCCTGTACTGACACAGTTACCTACAGTGCAATGCATGAGGACGGGAAGGTCAAATCCATCTATCCAATCAATCTTAGCAGTTAAGAAATATTTGACATCAACACAGTGCTTGCTGATGGCTATGTATATACATGGAGGGAAGAAAGGATTGGGGTGGGGGGAAAGGAAGAAAATTATATGGAAACATCATGGCCATAAATTGAGACATCTTCTTCAGTCAAGACTCACTGTCTGATGTTACTCCTTCTAAAAGACACTGCACAGGCTAATCCAGCTCCAAAACCTCTGACGACTGCCTACAGAGTGCTCTACCTGCCCCATGTAATGGTGCCAAATGACTGTTCTCTTCCCACTATTTTTCCCTAGTTTTCTGCAGAGCGGAGTCTACTGTGGATTAGGAAATACTCCTGTAAAAGTGTGATGCAGTGGAAAAAGTCAATCTCCCAGTACACCTCTGGCCCCAAAACTCTCACCTCTGTAATCACCAGATTGCCAGTGCTGAATTCAGATTATAAAAATCAATGGAAACTGAGCCTATAGAGAAGCTAATTAAGTATCCTAGCTCACCTCTCATTTCGTAACAGGAGAGTTGTAAAAACTAGAAATTTGGCATCCATGCAATACATTCCCTCATGTTTTTACTTGTAACAATGTCAGGCTTGCATGTGCACCAAGGTGTGCAGACACAGGTGTGACATTCTGAGCCCTTACATAAAAACTATATCCATTAAAAGCACAACATTCACTCCAGCAAAGCATCAGGAAAGCATCCACACTGGAGTCAGAATCTGAAGGCAGCTACTGGAGCCTTTCATCTTATGTAACGTGCATACATCAGCAGATTACAGAAGAAGTACCTAAGAAATAAAGGGGCAATTCAGAAACAGGTAAATTTATGAGGGGAAATACGCAAATATGCACCTCCTTTGCTGTTTGTTTATCCACAACTTTACAGCCTAGCACACCTCCTGCAACACCCCAGATAACATAAGAAGTACTGAACGCTATAAACTCATCACATCATTTTGTTGTTCTTAAAATTCTATATTAGGATTCCAGCTAGCAGCTGTAGAACAAAGTTTCTTTTAAGCAAATTTCTGAATAATAAAGTAACTCGTATCAACCAGTTCTGAGTCCAATTCAGTGCATTAACAAGAATCTCTTTTAAGCAACTACTACAGTTTGCTTTCCATTAGAGCCACTAAAGCTAAGCAAGGAAGGGTAGATAGCTAATTCACACATCAGTGAAGTGGAATTAGATTCAAGCAAACAAGGTCTCCTTCCTTCCTTCCTTCCAGACACACTGGCACAGCTGCAAAAAGTTCTGCCTTAGTTTCATGTGGTCAAATTACTCACCTTCCCCATCAGGGCTCATATTTTCATAGGAATCCCAGCGTATGAGTGGGTCTGAGGTATTGTAATCAACTATCACTCCATGGTCATTCTGAAGGTGTTCACATCCTAAAAATAAGAGTAATGTTTGAGACCAAAAATTATGATAACCACATTTGTAATGACATACACACACACACGCGTACGTGGCTTTCGACAAGTTTGCTCCCCAAACTGCAATACCAGATTCTGAAATGTAAGAAGCATCAATAGAAGAAAGATTATATAAACCAGATAAAAAAAAAAAGCAAAGGTTAATTTATGTTTCATGACAGAAGGTACAAGCAGAATATTTCATCTTGAGCTTCTTGATTAAGATGTGGCTCTGATAACTTGGATCAGACCCTAAACACAACTAACACAGATGATCCACCCAACCCTAGAGGCAGGCACAATAAAACAAATAGCTTTTCAGAATGAAACCACAAGTACCTATAAAGATGGTACTAAAGGAATGATAAAGTAAGATTATCATTCTGATACCAGAGCAACTTATCACTAAAAATGAATAGGGAGAGCTGAAAACTGCCACTCTGTGTCCCTCCCAGTTCTCCAAGGTGCCAACCAGACTGTTTCATCCCTTCTCCAGCCTCCTGGCAGAACCAGAGATTGGGCAGCTTGCCCTAAATGTGTTCGGCTGTACACTCTGCCAAACATACCTGGAATTTTCAGCAGTAACTCACATTTTTGTGCCCTTAACAAGGCATAAAACACAATTCAGCTTTTAAATATATGTCATGAGGAATTTAGGTGTAGTCCAGTGATTCAAAAGCAAAGCACAGGCATCAAGAACTCACAACCTTGGACTTGGCTTTGACACCGATACAAATCAAACTGGCTTTCAGCCTTTGGTTCTCTATCTAGATGAGGGAACAAAAAAACCTCTCAGTTATCAACTCTTCAGCTGTGTCTGGTGGAGCAAGTCCTATTGTAAATTGTTCTAAAGTAGCAGTGCTATTCACATGCTGTGACTTTCAAAAACAAGGATAGTTAAAATTAGAAGGACAAGAGTGCTGTGGTCCTGTACCTTCGTATGCAAGCAGAAAAAAGCCATTTGTGGAGAGTTTCTGTGATGATTTTTGTCACAAAGCAGATTTATGAAGTTTGTTAGCCAAATACTTAGGCGTCTCATCATCTTGGCAAGTGCATTCTTTCTTAAAAACTGTATCACAGTCAGCTATTTTCTAGAATACTGTGTCCAGTTTCAAGTTACACAAGACAAGAAAGATGAATGAAGTGAAGCAAGCTCAAGGAAGGGCCACCAGGATGGTCAGGACTGAAGGACTTGCCCTGTGAGGAAAGGCTGAGGGACTAGGGCTTCTTCAGCCTGGAGATGAGATAGTCTTGGGGGGCACCTGACAGTAGCCCCACAGAGGCCATGAAGGAGACAGAACCAGGTGGCAGCTAGGTGGGACGACAGCAAGGAGCAGGCATAAAGTGAACCTAGAGAAGTTTAGAGACAACATAAGGAAAAAAATAAATCAGCTGTGAGGGCAGTTGGACATTGGAGCAGTCCACCCACTGAGGTTGTGAAGTCTCCATCCTTGGAGGTTTTCAAGATTTGACTGGACAAAGCTCCGGGCACCCTGGTCCAATCTCATAAGTGACCCTCAGCAGGAGGATGGAAACTGCTATTTTCAGATGTGGAAAAGTAATTTTGAAGAAATACTAAATAGACATTTCAAGGTGAACTTTTCTTCCTAGCCAGTTAATCCCTTAAAGAGCAACCGAATACAAACTTCCAGCTACTTAGAACCTTACTTTCCAACAACCTGGAGTCTGCTAAAAAAAACCCCAAAACAAACAAACTAAAAAACCCAAACAAAACCAACCAAACAAAGAAAACCCCCACACCTCTGATTCACCCTCTAAGGAAGGAAGACTGATCCTTTTTCAGATACGTCAGGTGGCCTTTCTTCACACATTTACTACCCAGAAGTGTTTAGAACAAGCTAGACAAACTTATTTCTAAAACTGTTTTTCTTATATGGCTTTCCACAAGCTGAGATCTTCGTGCTCAGCTGGACAGAATCCAACTTCTGACTGACTGCTACTACAATATTCTAAGTGATCAAACTGAGGGGAAAATATAGGAAAGGAAAACATGCAAAGGAAAACTGAATGGGAATATGTTTGAGACAGACAAGAATATTTGGTTTTCATTCAGTCTCAGGCAGAGCCCATACTTTTTGGGACACCATAAAATGAGTTAGAACAGATCCATTAACATAATTAAACTGCAGTATAAAGCATGATCCTAACTTCTTATTGCAAGTTGTAATTATCTATGGTCTTAGATGTATTACAGTAGAATTCTGGAGACATACAGGATACGCCCTACAAGCCAACTTCAGAGCAAAGGCATTTTTAACAGAACTATAGCTGTATCTTTTTATGCTAAACTGAAGACAGTCCAAACCTCACCACTGCAAACCTGATCACTTACGACAACATCCACAAAAGGTTATGGAATAGGTCACTGCTGTCACTTATGCTGGGCCAAGCTACCTATACTATGCATGTTTTACACAGATATGCAAATGTTTTCTACTTGTTGTCAGCAACTGCTCTGGTATAGTTTTAAAACAAAATCTGATTACTCCCACGCTGATGTAAATGCAGAGTCTTTATTAATTTTTTCAAATTTAAACTAGCAACTATATTACATATTTTACAGTAGAGCTGAATTTCAGCTCTTCTACAAGAGAAATGTGTTAAAAGAGAAAAAACCAAACAAAACAAAAACAAAAACACCACCCCCCCAAAACCAAACAAAAAACCCAATAGCATTTCACCATGGTTTATTTTCAAAGTAATCATATTTTTTTCTTCCATATACTCACCTTGAATTTTCTCTGGAGTCCCTGAAAACACTAATTCCACTTTGCTGTAATCAGGGAAACGGTCATCTGAAAACAGAGGACAGTATTTCAGCAAGCTATCTCCCAGAAAAACAGATCCAAGGCACTCAGTATTTAGGATTCTCTATAGCCATTAATACACATGCCCTAGTCAACTCTTCCCTTCTCTCTTGCAGTTTAGAGATTTGCTTCTAGAACAGCCACATTCTTCTTCCCCACACATTCTCCAGAGAAGACCAGTTAAGTGTCAACTGGAGTTTCTTTTACTTTCAAGATCAGTCAAAGGTGTACAAAGAGATGTACAGTCCACAAACCTCTCTCCAGACAGACATGGCTGGCTTTGGCTTTTAAAACAAACCCAGGAGCAAACTAAAATTGTTCTCTATATTGGCTAAGCTGCAATACTTGACCCCAAAACTTCTGTGTAGCCGTAAGTTGCAGTAAAATAGATTTGATTTTAGTTTGCTAGTAATGTAGGGTGAGGAAGTTACTATCCTGCATACCAACATTAAATTAAAATTGAATTAATAATTCGCAAAATGCAGACATTTTCAAATGTGTCTGAAAACTCCGCCTCCATTTTTGGATATTCTCAAGCACATTAAAAGGTCTTCACGCTCAAGCGGACTAGGTCACAAACACAGTATCAGACTTTGTGCCTGGTTTTATCAGCCAAAACAAGGGAACAGCTTAGCTCATCTGGTTTCCTGTCACGGTGACTAACAGAGTCACATTTTAAACAAACGTCTGTTGTTTTTACAAATACAAGAGGAGGCGATGAGGACTATGTAGGAGTACCTGAATTGTTCTGAAAAGTTATTTCACTTGAAGAGCTTTTCTTCTGATTAGGGAGCTGTGCTACATGCTATGAGTTTACTAACACAAAGTAGACTCCCTTTCCCTAAAAACAGGGATAGGGGCTGGGAAGGGAAACCCTTTTGAAAACAGGTCCTGAAGATGTTCATCACAGGCAGAGGCACACACATGCACCCCACCACACATACACATCCAACCAACAACAGAAGGCAAGTACCTTTGTTGGCATTGTCCAAATCCTCTTTGCCAAACACCAGGCCATGTCCTTGAATGGCTCCAGTGTGAAACTGAAGGCGAAAAACCACATCACGAGTAGCTGACCGGTATTTTTTATGATAACACTTCAGCTAGAAAGAGAGAGAAACGTGTCAGGAGGAATTTCTTACACATCTGAACAAACGTGTGTGTATATGGATTAGCTGCCTGGCGAAGCAGCCACGGTGCAATTAACTGCAGACATTCCTGATGTTGTAACAAGCAGGGTACGCATCATTCAAGCCTTTAAAATTAAACAGGCCCAAGGCAAGATACTTCTGGATGTGTAAAAATAATCATCACTATTTTCATCACTATCAGTCATCCATCAGTAGATTATGATTCACAACATTTGTCAGTACCACGTTGGAATGCTGACTTGTACCTGTACTTCTTCACAGTACTGAATTAACGTAAAATTAAATTAGAGCACAACCATTTTGAAATAACTGAAGAATATGCAATTTTTAGAAGCAAGCCTGCAAACTGATTACATCTATTTTAGGACTTTTTAAAAGCCTACTACAGTGATGATAGGAACCTGTTTTACGTTACTGTGGGAAGTTAGTAGTTGTTTTGACATTGTGGCTAGAACAACACAGAACTCTGTAGAAATAACATCTAGCATAAATTTCAGCAGCGAAAGGTGAACACAATAAACCTACTCTCTAACACCACCTTCCATCAGACTAAATCCATGGATATTTTATCTACTAATTCTCTGAGTCAACTGCCATACATGTCACAAAGTATTCTTGCAGAAATACATAAAAATTTTGTTAAGCTTAGTCACAGAACTGATAATTTCATCATAGAATCATAGAATGGTTTGGGTTGGAAGGGACCTTAAAGACCATCCAGTTCCCACCCTCCTGCCATGGGCAGGGACACCTTCCACTAGACCAGGTTGCTCAAAGCCTCATCCAGCCTGGCCTTGGACACTTCCAGGGATGGGGCATCCACAGCTTCTCTGGACAACCTGTGCCAGTGCCTCACCACCCTCTCTGGGAAGAACTTCTTCCTGATATCCAATCTAACCCTCCCCACTTTCAATTTAAACCCGTTACCCCTTGTCCTGTCACTACAGACCCTTGTAAAAAGTCCCCCCCAGCTTCCTTGTAGCCCCTTCAGGCACTGGAAGGTGCTATAAGGTCGCCCCGGAGCCTTCTCTTCTCCAGGCTGAACAAGCCCAACTCTCTCAGCCTGTCCCCATAGCAGAGGGGCTCCAGCCCTCAGAGCATCTTCGTGGCCTCCTCTGGACTCGCTCCAACCAGTCTATATCCTTCTGATGTTGGGGGCTCCACAGCTGGACGCAGCACTCCAGGTGGGGTCTCACCAGAGCAGAGTACAGGGGCAGAATCCCCTCCCTCGCCCTGCTGGCCACACTTCTCCGGATACAGCCCAGGATCCGGTTGGCTTTCTGGGCTGCCAGCGCACACGGCCGGCTCCTGTCCAGCTTTTCATCCAGCGTTACCCCCAGGCATTTACAGATGTCAGTGGACCTTTTCAACGGCTGTGGCTGTGCTGTATCACCACATACTATTCACAGTGTATTAACAAATTATGTACCCCTAAGACAAGCAAGTTCATTTTTTTTTTTAAAACCCATGCACTTCAAATAGTTAAACCTTTTGCAATTGTAGGTGGTGCATCCTATAGATTTTTCTTTTTCCTGAAACCACCAGTGGTTTTGTTTAGACTTGGTAAAAAAAAAAAAAAAAGTCGTCAAACTGAAGTGAAGTCTTTTGTCTTCAATGATCTTTAAACCATGCTGAATAAGATGTTGGCTTCCTCAGAAGAATTACCACCAATAAAAGCATGGGATTAATGACATTGATCTCTTTTAAAATGATGCAAACGTTATTGAATATCTATGTGCTCATTTTTCATTCTGAACATATATTTAAGAGATACTGAATGACTCAGACTGATTTCTTTTGTGATCTATTCAATTTCCTTAAGCACCAACAGTCCTCTGACAAGGAACAAATCTTCCTGAATATGAAACTGTCCCAGACCTCCAGAGTATACTGGTTTATAACAGCATATAATTGCTTCTCCATTTTTCAGTGAAAGAACAAACAAGCAAGATACTAAACAATGGTGAGGGGAAGCAGGAGAAGGAAAAAAAAAATCTGATACCAAGGACCCCTCGCACCAGGGTCCAACTATTCTCAAAGTCGTACAGAAAAAAACATTCTGAAACCTACTAGCAGAAATACTCTGACAGTACTTCCCACCGCCATTCATTCCACATGTTCTTCTGTCCTCTTAGTTTAAGAAATTGAAAGACACAGCAACTATCTTTCTTTAATTTCTCTTTGCCTGTGTAGAACAAGCAAGAGAGAAAGCAGAGATTTAAAATGATAGGGCGGCAATTCAACCATAGTCACGCTTTGCACGCAGGGAATTACACGCACTACAGTAGTGTGTATAAACTGCTTTCTAATAGGCCTGTAGAATCCACATGTGCTTGCAGAATCAGGAGGTTTTCATTTGGTATCACACCTTTTTGAGTCCCAAAATAAGTTAGAATTAGTTAAGTATTTTCTTTGCAGCATATATTTTTACGACTGTGCACATTGCTTGCCTAGCTACAGGACGAGGGCATTTTAATGCTAAGATACAAATACTCTCCAAAGTAATTTTTATCAAGAAAACAGGGTTACCGCCCTTATTGCACCTGGTGAGGCTACGAAATGGGAATGCTGAAAGCAATTGTTTCGGCTCCTAAAATCCTTCCAGTTTGAGTTTTATAGGAATTCAGATTCCTATAAAACTCAAGAATGATGACTAAATTAACTTAATAACATATTTTATAGTATGTCTGCCACAAGTCGCTCAATTTATTTTTTTACAAGAACGCAAACCAGGTCAGAGGCTGTAAACTAAATAGCACAGTACGAAATTTTTATTCCATACGATTAACTTACCATAATATCTCCCTTCAAAAGCTGGGCAGGATCTATAGCAATGCAGATTCGGCTTTGATTTTCTGGCCCTACACTGCTTAACAGGAGAGAAAAGTAAATTTATGTTTTAAAGACACAAACAAACAAAAAGACCTCCAAAAAAAGGCAATTCTGCAATTATGAAAATTAAAATCTGGATTCAAACATAAAGGAAAATGCTTATGACTTACTATATTCCAGAGGTATAAACTGGTTGCATAGCCTGGTATAACTTCAGAAAAGGCCGGCAAGCTGAAAAAAGTTAACAGACTGTTTTGTAACTACTTTTCTTTATCTGAGCATTAGAACTAGGAAGCTTTGAGCACACCCAGACTAAGCAAGTGGCACACAAGTGGCACAATGTTGACTGTCAAAATACCCTTCAAAGTAAAATTGGCTGAGAGAGATTCATTTTCCCCAAAAAAAGTATTTGATTATATTTTATTTAAGGAAAAAAAAAAAACAACCCTTTTTCCTATCTTTAGACTAGTTCTGAATTGGAAAGGAGGGGATTTTAAAGGACGCTGGTAAGCAAAGAAAGAGGGAACACTCTGCTCCTTATTAAATGTCTGTCTGCCTTCCATCCCACTTTTTCTGCAGAAAAACAAAATTATTAAGGGAAGAAAGAGAATGGCCAATACAAACAAACAAAAATCCCAAACCCAACCCTAAAACAAACAAACAAAAAAGGCATTTTCAAAATTAAGCAAAATACTCGATCTGCAGTTTTGTTTCAAAACTAGTAAGTCCCTTAAATTTCTTACTACAACAAACGATACCTCGACTTTATTGAAATAGTTATTTTATAAATAAATCCAGACTAACCAACAATGACAATGCAGCATTGCAGATGGCATTTCAACAGACAGGTGCTGTTTAACTCTCAGAGGATAAAAATACAGAGTTATACTCCTTTGCTATGCTCTAGCACGATACCTCGGTTTAGCATTTTAATTTTAGAGCCACTTAAATGACAATGCAGCATTGCAGATGGCATTTCAACAGACAGGTGCTGTTTAACTCTCAGAGGATAAAAATACAGAGTTATATATATACAGAGTTATACCTTGGTTTAGCATTTTAATTTTAAAGCCACTTATCATAGAGGGCAGCCTTAGAAGCACACCACATCCAAATGGCTTTTCTACAGAAAATTCATTCTCAAAACAGAAGAGAGATAATATCTATGACTATGTTTCAAGAAGGAAATGTCTGTGAAACCTGACCAGGTTCTCAGCTCTTTTGCAGGGACTGGGATCGTAACTGTTCAGAAACTAGGCAGATGTGAATAGCATCAACTCCTCATTTAACAAAGGACAAGACTTTTGTTTCACCTGCTGTAATTTGTACTCTTATAATATTTCTTTTCTCATGGTTCTTTTATTGGCAATATTGCACTGGTATCAAGGAGCACCAACTCTACTTCAAGATTTATGCAGGCTTCTTAGAGAGCTCTGAAACAAAACAAGACTTAGAGCCTACTCTTGGATAGGAAAAGTTAGGTAAATTACCTCCTCCAGCATCAAAGCTTGGGATGCCGTGAAGGATAACGTAGTGCAGGAAAAGAGGGGTTGCATTCATTTTCACAGATCCAGATAGAAGACCACTTAGGAATTGCACGTATCTAAAAATACAAAATTTATCTGAATTAAATAAAACCAGTAGTGCAACCATATCAGGGAAATACAGTCTTCACACATTAATATTTCTAGGTCGTGGGTAGTGAATAGCACTGTCACATTACACAACACCAAAAGAATCATCTTCCCAAAATAGCGTAAAAAGACACCTTAATTTACCACTTTATTAAATCCATGGCTGTTACATTGCTATTATTGATGTCTTCATCTTAGTTATTTATATCACTACAGTAAATAAGAAAAGAACTAGCAGATATGAATCTTTTTGGTATACATATTTCTAGTTGCAACTGAAGGTCTGAACTGGCTTTCCCAGCAGCATGACACTGGCCCCGCTACATTTACAGTGAAGTGCACTTCATTAAAACAAGAGCAACAAGTGCCCTTGTCAGAAATCTCAGTATTAAGGCCAATGCAGGTAAATAATATCTTCACAATGAGAAATGATCTCATTCAGCCCAGAACAGAGGAAAATACCATAGCAACGTGAAAAATCATTGTATTTCTGCTATTTAATACCCGGTTTGCTTGCAAGATCACGAGCAAGTACGTGCAAGCGAACAACACTGCAGGGTATGTTAAACAAATTCCTCCTATCTCCTTAAATAACCAAGGGAAATCAGACTCCTTTAATTTTTCTACTGGCTTTAAGTCCCTTTTCCTTTTGTGCCGGTGACACCACCTTTAACTTCATTCTGAGCAATGTACAGAAAAAATAAAAGCACCTCTTTTACCCCCTTTATGCACAGATCTCACTAACCAATCCCTTACTACCTGCTCCTGCCCAACAGCAGCAGCTTTAGTACCCCAGAATGGGAGTAGTTGTGGTTTAAAACAGGTTTCATTTTACAGACAGCTAGCAAAGCTCACTCTATTTTGAAATGTTAAGAAAACTTTGCTTTTTGGTTTCCTCCTTCGTTCTTTCTGAAAATATTTGGTACATCAAAAGCTCAAATTTACAAACTGTCCCAGCTAGATAACATCATACAGTGAAATAAAACCTTTTGACAGTGACCTCTAAGGTCTGAACATTTTATCTCTACCATTACTTGGTTTTATTATTCCAAAAATTTCAATTTTTAAGATCTTTCTCAAGGCAATGCATTCAACAGACTTAGAGCAATTGGCTTATTTTTGAGAAGCGTGTTCAAATATTTATCCTGAAGGTTTATGAAAAAATTTTAAACACGAAGGGTCTGTATCTGCACCTCTTATTCAGGAAAACTTTCAACTGCTTGTCTGAGAAGAAAAATCCATTTTAATTATCGTCAGCATGGATTCAGAGTAGATCTGGTGGATAGCTGCTTATCTTGCCACTGTTACAGCATCTGACTGGCAGTGAATAGCTAAGGGATTTTTTTCAGGACTGATGCACTTAACGGCCACCATCTATTTTTTTCTGGACAAAAATTACTACAGAAAAAGTTTCAAAATACAAATAATGGGTGTACTTTCAAATTCTATCATTGTGACATTCACCTAAATTATACCTGATTATACACCAACTGGATTTTAACGAGGGCATCGATAATTTTCCAAGAATGGTGTCAGAGAAAAGGTACATGAAAAATGTGATTCAGGCCATTGACTGATCAAAATGGGATCAAAAAGGGATTATAAAATTACCCACATATATTAGAGTTGGCTTTCCCTTCTCTGCAATGGGATTAGCAGCCACTGCCAGGCCAGGCAAAGGTAGGAAAGGCCAGGTTCAGGAGAGCAGTTCTGACAAACGGTTTGAAGAACCTCCTCTGTTCTCAGGGAGTGAAACTCCAAAGCGCCTGCGTGTGCACGTGTCTGGAAGACGGTGAGGGCAGCTCAAGTTACTGCTGAGCAAAGACGCTAATTCCATCAGGCGGTGAATTGAGTCTCTCTGAGACTTTCCCCCTCTCCGCCACCCAGAAGAATTAAGCAAGTGTCCCTGAAGGCAGGAAAGCTAGGTGTCATCACATCTACTTCACCTCCAGCTTTAGGGCTCGCATACAGCTCACCTAAGTTAGTAGCTACTGAAGCTTCTCATCAACATGGTTGTAAAAACTGCCCCGACGCACAGTTCACAGAGGCTGCTGTGAGGTTCCCTGGCTCTCATGGAAACATGCCTGCTGCATAAAGCTTCTTGATGGGAAGATGAAGAACACCTATGTTTCGCATTTCTCTAACTGGTAGACACCGCGCTCAAATCCTTATTAAAATGAAACAGATATATGCAGGCATAAAACAAACCAAAAAGAAAGAGGCCAGTAAACTTCTTGTTATGAAAAGTTTATTTAAAGTCTAATGGATGCTGTGTTACTGTTTTTCAAGGGAAAAAGAGCTGTGCAGGTCACCAAATGGGTTCAAGAAGTAATGGGAAAAGCTTTCTTATTTAGAGATTAACAGAACCAAATGCCTTATGCCCATTGTTATTACATATTTTTCTGGTTTAATTACTATCAAAGCTTTGACCTTTAAACAATTAAAAAAAACCCCAAACGAACCTACTCTGTACACACTGATTAAGACCAAAACCAAAAAGTAATTAGTAAACCAAACCCTGCTGATTTTTTATGTTTCTGAAAGAAGATTCACCTATATACCGATTACTTGTCTGATGGATATCAATCTCTTCTGGCACTGAACCCTCACCTCAAACTGAGGGAAATAGCAAACCCCAGAACTATTCATTTTCCAAACTGCTCACTTTGAGTCCTAACTCAGTATTATTCATGTAGACAGACTGAAAAGCTAAAAAATCCAGATAGACAGAATGAATAATGCATGCTTGACAAACATTCACTAGCATGGACATGGGGCAGATGCATAATCTGCAGATCCTCCAAATAAATATTTTTTCTTTATTCCACACTAATCAACACACATTCCAAACACATCATTTACACTACAGAAAAATGAGTTTACTATTCTCTTGGAGCAATCAAGAAATAGATGAGGACAAACAACGCAGTAAGAACATAAGTAGATAACAGTGCAGTACAAAAGATTTTATCTATCTTGGGCTACGTGCAGGAAGTGAAGGAGAGATCTCATCAATCAAGAAAGATTAATATAAGATGAAGTGCTGACAGTTCAGGAATCACTGGAGGATCTTGTGGAAACAGCCTTCATATAGCAGGGGAGGGAGTAAGGGATGGGGGCAGAAGATAACGATGACATTTCTTATCGGTATGAATTTCAAAATTAAATACCTTCTTTGGGATGGCTGCATTAAAGCTGAAACTTTATCATCAAAGAATTTCTTCATAGCAAATCTGTCTAGAGCCTGATCAGCACTGTCAAAACAGAGACACAGATACCATGTTATTCCAGTTTGGTGTTATCTTGGAAATTCAGCACATTACTGCTTGAAATATGCCAAAATATTTAGAAGGAAAAAGAAGGAAAGTAAGGGAAAGCAAGAAGCACCGAACTAGCAACTCTGGCACTTAAGAGGTCAGACAACGTTTTTTCCTTCTCATTCCATGCCTTGAGGCAGTTTCTTTCCTGAGGCAAAGCACCTACTCCCTTATTCAATTAACTGGATTAACATATTTCGGTTGGAAATATGCAAAGTCATAATGCAACTTCAGCAAAGCCCAGCAGCTCAGGCTTCAAGGGAAGGATACTTGCCATCACGTCCTGAGAGTGCCACTGGGAAGTTCTCTCCATGGAACACACACTGACTCTTTTTTTTTAAAGCAGCAGCAACATTATGGAGATCAAAAGCACTGCCTAGCTCTGACTGTCGTAGAGTACATGAGGTGCAAGGGATACTGGGTTAGAGGTTCATTTAAACAGTCAAATAATTCATTCAGTCTTTGTTCCCTAAGCCACCAAGGGAGAAAATGTTTAAAATACAGGTGTCAATCTTTGAAAAAGAAATGTTTTTGCATTAGACAACCACAAAATCTTCAAACACCCAGTTAAGGAGCAACATATTCAGAAAAATACGCTGTATGCCAGTCTATATAGAATGGCTCTGATGTGGGTATTCTGCGTCTGCGCGGAAGGCAAGAGGGTATAGAAAAAAGAAACAGAAGTGCCAAAAATCAGTAAGAATGCTGTTCGTGACGTACGCCAGGAAACACGCTTTGCTGATTCTGTGGTACCTGTACCAGATAAAAACAGTGTGTCTCAGCAGATGTAGCTGAGTGTTAATTCACACCAGGACATTAAAAAAAAGCAGAAGTTTCAAAATAATTGGACTCCGCAATCTCAAATCTGAAATTCCCCATCTAGTTCAATCTAAATGAGTTCCAAGGAAAATAACTGTGTCAGGTATATGCATTCCTATCAGGCTAAAAATGGGATTCATACCTTTTCCACAAATTAATCAGAAGTTAGCAATTCTCTTCACAGGGTGCTGGATCCAGCTGTAAAGTCATGCCTCTTCTTCATGGATTTTAAAGATTACATCGTGTTTGCTTGGAATATCCTTGACCCCAAAACTCTATTCTTCACCCAACCCGTCACACATCTTCATACTTTTTCAGCCACACTACCACCCAGAATTTAGGCAACGCACTTGTAACTCTCCAAAGAATGCCAGTACTTTATTTGTTAAAGCAAGAGTTTACCAACTATTACAAAGAGCTTTGTTTGCCCTTGTTAAATTTGACAGCACATTATTCCCGCCCAAATGAGAAAATCAGGAATTATAACACAGAACCAAAAGGAGGTTCCATCATAATGCTTTTTCACTAAGCCTAGATTTTTTTGGCATGTGCACGCATGCAATTAGGAACTTTATTTAGTGTGAATATCCTCAAACCTTCCAAGCACTGTTTCTGACACAGCAGCTGGCACCCTCAACAGCAGCACCTGCAGTAATTCCTGCTTCCATGAGGTTGCCATGTACCATTTTGAAGTGTCTTGATAATGCTAGGGATATATAAATCCTACCTGGGAAGCTTCCTCAACCTCATTCTTACACAGAAAAGTTAAGTTTTGGATAGGAGCTGACTGATACCCAGAAATTTAAAGGAGGGCTCCCAAACTTACTTCTCCCCTGCAACTTCACTGGCAGAATCCTAAATTTCTTTGGGGTAAAAGATGACACCTTTCATCACTGGGCTTTACAGTCACATCTACCTGTTGTTCTGTTACAGCATTACTGAACTGTGTTTACAGCCAGGTACCACCTTTAAAGATGACACAACATTGCAACATTGAGATCACAACACAGTACTGTACTACCCTTGACAGGTTTTGTGGTTCATACTACTTTTCAACAAAATATTATGAAATTGTGGCAATCACTGTCCCAGTTACTATTTGAAGATAGATGAATTTATTTCTTCAGCATATATTGGTGTGTATAATACACCTCATTTCTTAGTCTGCAAGTACCTGTTGATCTGGCTTACCAGAGTGAACACAGATTGTTTCCTGAGATGCTGGTTTTATTAAAATACATGAGTAATTTGCCATCAGCCTATCATGATTCAGGACTTCATCCACCACAGAACTGGATCAAATCTATTAGTGACTAATAGAATTCAGAAATAAATTTGATTCAACCATGGTCTTTATAGTGTATTTTTACTTTAATACATTTATATACACATATAAGTACATGTAAAAGGGACCAAGGAAAACAATTTGATTAAAACCCAAGCAAAAATCCCAGAACAAATCACATTTCACCTCTTTGAGACCATCTATTGTCTGAACTGACTGCAAGATAAAGTCTAGATTATTTCTTAAACTGCATTCTGCACTTTGATCAATGTCTAGGAATTCCCTGTTCAAATATTTATTCCAGATTCTAATAACTGCTTTGCTTAAGTACTTTGGGAATAGTTCCTCATTGATTCAAAAGAGGCAACTTGATGGATGTGGCAAATAGATGGATTTAACAGAATAAAGATGGTATCATTATTCCTTCACATTTCTTCATTCATCTTGAAAGACCCTGTAGAGAATTTTCCCACAGAATACTGAATATCTCAGATTAGAAGGGAGCTTAGAGTGTCACCTAGATTTTTTTCTGCTGAAAGCAGGACCACCAGACAACTCTGGCATGAAAGAAGGCTGTTTCAAGACATACTCCATGACCCTTTGAGAAGAAAATCTGACAAACCTTAACTGACAAACAGTAGTACAAGTAAAAGGCATCATTTTCTGATGTTTCTTTAATTGTAAAAAAACCCACAATATGCATTATTCACAGCTTACCTTGCAGAAACGTTGGTGAAGTGCATATATGATGATATGACTACACCGATTCTTCCTTTTCCTCCCTGCATTAGGAAAAAGAGAATGATAACTTATTATTACATTATTAGGAAGTATTTTATTTAAAACCCTTACTAAACTGAACTAAGACAGGAGATTCAGAGTCCTTTGGCTCATGCATCTCCTGTACAGTTGGAAAGGCGGTAATGATGCGCAGCAGCTTGTCTGCCTATGCAGGCTGTCTGCAAGGGACACAAAAACCATAAGGAGAATTTCTGTGTGTGCACCTGTCAAAGTCTTACTGACTGACTGACTTATTTAAAATAAAATAATCTTGAGCAGTAGTAAAACCGTAGCATCAACTATTCTAGTTTTCTATTACTTTTTCCGGAGATCATTCAGGACAAGTCTAGACAATGCTGCAATTTCTGGCATGAAACGCTAAAAAGTACATATTTTGGAAAGCGTACGAGTTTCTGGCAGGTTTGGCATTTTTACCTCCACAACACTTGAGATTTATAACAACTACTACTTATTTTTCTATGGATAGAGTGTTCCAAAATATTATTAGCTAATTTACATAACACAAATTTGGCTCAATTTACCAAGCAGTAATTATCAGAGATTTCAAAACAATTTCAGTTTCTCAGCTGACATAAGCAGCTGTATCTATCTTTGTGGTTGAAAGCTTTAAAGTCATTACAGAAAGGCATTAATCAACAATATGCACTACCAATTTGTATATAAAATACCTAGGAATGCTTTGCCACCTTTTCTTTTGTCCCATGTATGGGCCATTCTCCTGCATGCAGTACTGCAACTGGTAATAATTCACCAGTGTTTCCTACCATCATGGCACTCTGCCTGCCAGCAATTCAGGACTGGTGACCATACTACATGACTCAAAGAGAAGTTTTGCTCCCATTATCACCCTTGTTCTGTTTAGAGTAACATCTGCCAGTGTCAGAGACAGATTTGCCTGGAGCGTCACCAGCACAGATACCAACTCAGTTCTGAATTCATTTTATCTGTAATTCATTAAGGCTTCTCTATTTCCCTTCACTGTGAGCAAGCAAGGAGAAGTAACGCAGCACAGCGGTAGCTTTGCTGTAAGGCACTGCAAGGATGCTGGCAGTCAGAACACTTCAGAATTACCCAGCAGGAACTTCATGCCCCGATTTCCTACAATCATACAACAGCCTACAGGGATGAGCTGTGCTACGTTGGCTGTTCTTATCCAGCAACAAAATGTATGAACGTCACAGAACATGAACAAAGTTTGTTACTGAGCTGGAAAAACTTCAAGATCCTAAATACACTCACACAGAAGCAGCACTGACCTTGGAAGGAAGTGAACTAACACTACTCCATGCTATACCGAGAGCAGAGGCCAGAACTGTAGTTACCATAAAAGGCAAGGTCAGTGGATTTAGGCTTACTTAAATCAAGAGAGTATTTGGCACACTGTTTCCAACATCAAAAACAGGTCAGACTTCTCTTTTTTTTTAAAAAGAGTAAGAATAAAGGACAACGTTTTTGAAAATTCAAACTGATAGGCGATGTGTATACCCAAAGCTCACTTACTCTGCAATGGATCACCACCACATGTTGAGGATCATTGTTCAGCCATGACTCCATAGCCTTGCAGATGGTGCACACCTTATCCAGAGGCGGAGCATGGAGATCAGGCCACCCCACATCCATAATCTGCAATTAAACAAGCATCATTCACAAGAGATTCCTTGTCCCTATACTACGTATTAAAATCTAGCCTGAAATAACGGTGATGGTGATCATCATGTCATTCAAGTGCTATGATGTAACTAAAACATGCTTACAGGTCTCTTCAGGGGAGAAGGGGATTTGTTTGTTTTTTTAAGATACTAGCACTTTTATAAAAACAGACTCCCCCCAGAACCCACCAACCACTCACAAGTGACGACATTTCTGAAGACCTTGACTTCCTGAAGAATTTTCAAATAGAAATTCAGGTATTTTATAAAATTAAAATATTTAGAAGGTCAAAATTATAACAGGGAATGTTAACTGGCTTTGTCCAGTATTTTGTGATTGTTGTTATATGAGATTTATTATCTTCATGGGCAGCAGATTTGGCATGTCAAAGATTTATGTTTTCTATCCAACTTCAGTCACTCTACAGTACTGTCTACTCAACCCATTATTATTATTATTTGCATA